AAGAGAAACCCGGATATAAGAGAGATTTTCTCTGGTCCCAAATTAGAGCCCATACTTACCTAAACAGATTAGACCAAACCCGGATATAAGAGAAACTCAGATATAAGAGACTTCTTCTCCGGTCCCGACAACTCTCTTATATCCGGGTTACACTGTACAAACATATACAACCGTGAGTGTTACAGCAAGAATGTTCGGTCCGACTGTCAGAGCTGACTGCTGGAAACTTTTCCTTCCAAAAGGCAGTACCTGCTTCAATTTATAGCTGAGAGAGTCCATGCGTGCGTGGGTAAATTACCATAACAATGACATTTTCCACTGACCAATTACAAAACACACACACACATGCTTTACGTAGATAATTATTATTATTATTATTATTATTATTATTATTATTATTATTATTATTCCTTTGATTTCTGGTGTGTACGCATTTCTTTCCGAGTCCCGCCCAGAGACGTAAGGTTAGAAATTGCATCATGACTGTTGTGCTCTCACGCCTTCCACATGTTTTCTCATGGCAACATTCCAGACGAGCTACATTCTTTAGTTCCACCAAACCAAGCTTTCAGAGCTAGAAGGTACCATGCTACGTCCACGCGGTCGATTCATCCTTATTCTCGACATATTCCATTGGTAAGAAGAAGTTCCACGCAAATAAATTCTGTCCTAAAACTGATCCGAAATTATGCTTCTCCGATTATTATAATCTTAACCTCTCCAACTCTAGCTTCAACTGGGTAACTGTTGTGGCCTTTTTTGGGCCAGAAATAAAGACACAAAGGGGGGAATTGTGTTAAACAAATATATTAACAGAAACAGTAATACAACCATATACAAACAAGAGTGTTACAGCAAGAATGTTCGGTCCGACTGTCAGAGCTGACTGCTGGAAACTTCCCCCCTCCAAAAGGCAATACTTGCTCCTATTCATAGCTGGGAGAGTCCATGCTTGCGTGGGTAAATTACCTTAACAGTTATTTAATGTCGACAAGCTTTTTTTTATTGCTGGTGATATTTTTTTCCAAAGATGTATTGCTGCTAATAGCTATTTTTTTTTTAATGAATTGCTGGTAATGTATTGCTGGTAATAACTTTTTTTCTTCAAAAATTCATTGCTGGTAATAACCTTTTACCAAAATGTATTGCTGGTTATAAACTTATTATTACACTTTCATAGTGCTTTGATCTCAGATTAAGGGGGGGTCAACTATTTGCCGTAGCTGGGACCCTAACAAGTGCTACCACCCAGGGTTGATCTGGGAACACCAGCAATTAAGAGGTGGTTCCACGCTCCTCAAAACCTCCTGATCAGACGTCTTGCTGGTTATCGTCTTACCAAGGACGTGGATGTAGATTATCGTCATACCCAGGATGGCCAAACTTATTAAATAAGTAACTTGCTGTTTTCTACTGCATCTGTACGTTTCATTGTGCCTTTGAGTATTAATTTCTCCAGCCTTTCTTTCCTCATAATGTGTTGCAAAATTTTCTGCCGTCTTTTTCTTAATGTAAGTCGGTGTTTCATTGTCGTTACTATTTTCCTTAAAACTTCCTTATCAATTACATACAATGTCAAAGATATTCTAAGCATTCGTCGGTAGAACTACATCTCTGTCGCTTCAAATCAATTTCTCAGCATAAACTACCATATCACCGTCGCTGGTGGAACTTGTTGCTGAGTATTGGACTGCTCATTGACATCATGCGTGAAGTAAGCTCTATGTAGGACCTAAAGAGACGTCCGCAATCACCGCATTGTAGGATAGGAGGGTTCAGTGGCCTTTCTTTGCGCTCATTTCGTCATTCTTTGCGCTCATTTCGTCTCTTCTATTTTTATTCTGGCGTTTTCGAAGGGTGTTGTTTTTTTATCGTGAACTGCTTTTCCCTAATTGGTTCTTTCTGCAGCTCCCGTCACCCAAGTGACTGGATCTCAATGCGGTCTCTTGACAGATGCGAGCTCCGAGAAGAGAATTTGTTTGGGTAGGCGAATGTCTGGTATTCGCGCATAGTAGCCGGCCTATTGAAGTTGGTGACGGTCCCTAAGTGTGTATAGGCTCTCCGTCTTTCTGCAGAGAACTTCATTTTTCATGATCCGGTCCTGCGATGTGTTCCGCAGGTTTTGATGAATATGATGGAATCTTTCATGTTTACTGGCGTCTCTTCGGTAGCTTACCTAGGTTTCACAGACGTATAGAAGAGTGGAGATTACAACAGCTCGGTAGAACATGACCATGATATTTTGTGTTATCCCAGGACTGGCGAAGACACTTTTCAATAGCTTCCCTTTCGGTTTTCCTTCTGGGTTTTCTATCAACTCAGTTTTATCTATTGATCTTATTTTGTGCAGATTATATTCACCTAGCAGGTCGACTAGCTCTCTAAATATAGTCTGACTCTATGGTTTAAATAATTTTAATTTTAAAGGTAAATTTTAACACTACCGAAACGAAGAGGCTATCTTATAACCGCCATGACTGATACTTACCTCTGGGAGAGTGATTCATTGCGTCTTTTCGGGCAACGTCTTCTGCTGACATGAAGCGGAAAGCTTATATTACATCAATTGCTAGGTCAGCTGCTGGAAAATTGTTATATAGGAATAAAGTGTCGCTGCTGACACTTGAGTTTAAACATAGATCGCCAGTGAGTAAAACAGGCGACCCCATTATTGAATTAAGTAGACCATAGAGTAAGCGCATAAGTAGAAAGTTGCGTGACATCTAACTGATCGCTATTTCTTTTCTATCCTCTATTACTATTCGAACTCTATTCACTATACTATTTCTCTATTCAGTTCATTATACGGTAGTTACTTTCGAGCGAATATTATCGATCAAGTACTATTAGTGCAAGTGTTATTCGAAGGCGTCTGATACCAGTATTGTTCAACGGCGTATTATAGTTGTTGTGGTAGGATCCACCTAATTTGCATAGTGGAGTACCGACCATATAAATATGGTTGGTTCCGGGAAGAGAGGAGAGGAATCAAGAGATTCAATCAGAGACTCTGCCCGACTGCGACTCAGTAAACACATTCTCCAGGAACGGTCTTACCAGGAATATACAAAAGACTATATGTAAATATTGTGTACACTTTCTTGTTTCAATACATTTTGTTCTAAGTACATTTTGTGTTGCATTATTATTCCATGCATTAGTCAAGTTTCAACAATAGTTGTATCTTCCATTACAAAGTCTCTACTACAACGAGCATTATGAAAGTGATAACGAGTATTCGTTGACATCACAAAAAATTTTCCGTGTTGTGCTAGACAATTTCTTCTCGCCAGAATCTTTTTTACATATTCATAAGTCTACCATTCTTCTATACATTGAATATTGCTGTCACGTCTTGTCTAGTACTTCTGTTATGTATTTAGAGATTCTTTATAAAATCCAAAGAATCTTAAATATTATAGGTTCTGACCTGGCATCTCGGCTTAAGTCACCTTCTCACCGATGTTACGTGGTTTCCATTTACCTTTTCCATAAATATTTTCACGGTAATTGTTCCGATGAGTTTTCTTCTTTATTACCAAGATTTATAAATTTTAACCCCAGTACTAGAGGTCACTATTTTTACAGTTGAAATTCCTTGATCTAACCGTAAGTTCTATGCTAACAGTTTCTTCTCTCACGCTTGTGGATCTTTATTTCCCGTCTTCTTGCTTTACAGTTACCTTCGATGTTCAAAAATTTAAATGCAATGACAACATCAATGTATTTTAATCTCTTCTTTTATTGTTCTCACTCCTTAATAATGCTTATCGTTTTCTAATGTTCTTTCACATTCAGTAACCCGCTAACGTTTTTACTGGTTTTATTACCTTGCTTGGGGTGAAATGATCCGGTTACAAAGGATACCTTTATATTTTAGCGTATTCAACGGGCTCATTCTCTCTTGGCATGGAGCTTGATTGGGTTCTCAAATGGAGGGAAATGACGACCGGAAGACTGTTTTCAGTTTCTCCGATTTCAGAAATCACAATAATCAGCTTGCCTAGAAAATCAGCATTAGAAAACCCGGCACCGATGCGAATTGCGAAAGCATCTCAATCACGAAGAAGCCCCTAACGTATTTTCATCTCGATCATAGTTGAATCCATCGCATACGGGATGATTACACTTAATGCAACGTTTACTTCTGCGTGGTGATCAAATTCATTTCCGATTGCTTACAGGGTGTGTGTGTGTGTGTGTGTGTGTGTGCGTGCGTGCGTGCGTGTGTCTGTGTGCATGTGTGTGCATGGTCTGTGCGTGCGTGTGTGTGTGTGTGTGTGGTCTGTGCGTGTGTCTGTGTGCATGTGTGTGCATGGGCCGTGTGTGTGAGTGTGTGTGTGTGTGTGCATGGTCTGTGCGTGCGTGCGTGTGTGTGTGTGGTCTGTGCGTGTGTCTGTGTGCATGTGTGTGCATGGGCCCGTGTGTGTGTGTGTGTGTGGTCTGTGCGTGCGTGCGTGTGTGTGTGGTCTGTGCGTGTGTCTGTGTGCATGTGTGTGCATGGTCCGTGTGTGTGTGTGTGTGTGTGGTCTGTGCGTGCGTGCGTGTGTGTGTGTGTGTGGTCTGTGCGTGTGTCTGTGTGCATGTGTGTGCATGGTCCGTGTGTGTGTGTGTGTGTGTGTGTGTGTGTGTGTGTCTGTGCGTGTGTCTGTGTGCATGTGTGCATGGGCCGTGCGTGTGTGTGTGTGCGTGCGTGCGTGTGTGTGTGTGTGCGTTAGTACGCGTGCTTTGCTTTCAGAATTGCCACGCAAGCAACAGAGCGATTTCGTGTGGAAATGGACAGTCATCCAGAAACGGTTATATATGTTGATTTTTGAATAAGCGGCGTTTCAACAATGTGGCGAGTGGAGTGTGTATGTGCGTGTGTGTGGGGGGGGTTAGACTGACTAAGTTCATTTTGTATATGTCTCTTCACCGCCTTAGAGAAACAAATGAAAGTTTCCAGGTTTTTTTTATTTTTTATTTAGCTAATCCATCGTATTTCTAAATCACCTCGGAAAATGCCACATCGCAACTCTCTCTCTCTCTCTCTCTCTCTCTCTCTCTCTCATCCTCCTACCATCATTCTCTCTATATTTCTCTTTCATCCGCATCCCCCTTTTTATCTGTTTTATTACTCACTTAATTTTTCTCTATCTTTCTATCTTTCGTTTTCTCTTCCTTCGAACTACATTGGAATTTCTTTCTGGTCTCATTTCTCTCTCCTCACCCTCTCTATGTTTCTTTTACCCTTTCTTTCTGTTAATATTTCTTTGTATTTTTTTTTAATTCTGTTTTTCTTCCCATTCCTTTTCCTCTTTCTTTCTACTTCAGTCATTTTTTTTTCTTTTCTTCTTTTTTCTTCTTTTTTTCCCTTTTTTTCTCCGTTTCTGTATTCTCTATATTTTCTTTCACTCTCTCACATTGTTTTTATCTCTGACCCTCTTCTCTGTATATTTCTCTCTCTTTTTATATCCCTGTGTGTATTTCCTCTATATGTTTCTCTTTCGCTCTTCCCTCTTTCTTTCTTTCTTTCTTTCTTTCTTTCTTTCTCTTCTCTCCTCTTGTCTGCGTAGAACGGGTTCAGCGTAAAGGTCGCCCACAAAGTGAATAAGGAGAAACAGTCGTTAAGACAAAGGGCAAAATGGAGACACGTATCCAAGGTGGCTGTGTTATGTATAAACAATGTCTTAATGCCAAAGTGGAATTTCTCGGCGCCCAAGTAGCGGTACAATCACCGGTTCAAGAACAGACGAAAAGAAAAATATCGAACACCTCCACAACAGCAGTAATTTTGATGAAATCTAACCAATTCGGGCCTGATCTATTCTTGGCCTGTTTTTTTGTTTTTGGTTTATTTTTTGTTGTTCTTTTTTTTGTTTGTTTCTTTTCATTGCATTTAGTTCGAATGAACGAACGGATCGTTGTTAAAATACCCACCTCCAAAATAAAAGCGTTCATCTTATGAGGGTAAAACATGTCCCACAAGTCGTGCAGAAGACTTGACATTCAATAAAATCCCTCTCTGAATTTCTGGGATGAGTAGTTGCCATCATTTATATTTTTATTTTTTGTTGTTATTTATTTAACAGCTTTTCGGCCGTTGCGCTCTATGGCTTTCTTCAGCCGTATTTCGATCTGTGTTACCTTTTAGGGAATTTCGAACTGAACTCTTGAATTAATCTATGGGGGAAGTTTCTTATCGTTCTGCTATTTATTAATTATTTACTGATTTTCATTCTTTAATTAAAATTCTTAATTTCATCCAATATAAGACTCGAGATCTACTCAAGGTAGAGGTTTACAATAGGAGTGGCATTGATGAATGAGGCATGAGATGGTAAGAAGTAGAGATTATGAAGACAAGGAGGATAGGTAATGACTGCCGTCGAACCCTGGGCGAGATCCAAAGTATCCAGGAAAATTCTAAACTGATTTTTTTTATCCTTTCGCCCTAAAGAAAGGCGACAATGTCACTAGAACGCGGGGGGATTACAGGGAATGAGAATGAAAGAGAAGATTGAAAATGGGAAGAATTGAGGAAAGGACAATAAAGGGCTAAAGATAACAGTAGATGGCGATTGACGTTGCATTTAAATTTCTGAAGATTGCTGTTATCTGGGAAGCGAGGAATCGGAAGGGAGTTCAATAGGTCGGAAGTGTAAGAAAAACAAACAGTTCGAGTAAAATTGTCGTTTCCATCGAGCTAGTTCAATAGTAAAACGATGAGACTTAGATAAAAGATAAAACAATGAATAGAACAATGAATTAATCTATGTGGGGGGAGGTTCTTATCGACCTGCTGTTAATTAATTATTTACTGATTCTCCTTATTTAATTAAAATTGTTAATTTCATCCAATATAAGGCTCGAGATCTACTCAAGGTAGAAGTTTACAATAAGGCATGAGATATGAATGTAAGATGGTAAGAAGTAGAGATTATGAAGACAAGGAGGATGGATAATGACTGTCGTCGGACCCTGGAAAAGATCAAGAATAAAGTACCCAGGAAAACCGAAAACTTTTTTTTTTATCCTTTCGCCCTAAAGGAAGGCGACAATGTCACTAGAAAGAAGGGGGTTACAGGGAATGAGAATGAATGAGAAGAAGACGATTTAAAATGGGGAGAATTGAGGAAAGGACAAAAAAAAGAAGAGGGTTCAAGAAAACAGAAGATGGCGATTGACGTTATATTTAAATTTTTTAAAGTATATAAGACTTTTGTTTCATGCCTTTTATACATTCATTGAATATTAGGGGGCTTTCAACTTAATAGCTCTTGTGATGATACAACCATTTACTCCTATCTCAATAGTAAGTCTAACCAGATCGATAAGCTCAAATTGGCGGCTGATCTCAAACATGACCTACAGTCTATTAACTTTGGGCACATGTTGACTTGTTAATTTTAACGCTTCCAAAAGAAAACTGATCTCTTTCAATCATCTAAGACTCCCTTTCTGCCTTCCATCAGCATGCCAACCTCCAAGCAAACGACTCGTTGCGCCTTCCCGGGCTAACATTCTCGTCTGACATGAAATGGAAAGACTATAATGAATCGATTGCTAGCTAAGCTAGTATGGAATTTGATTCACTGTGTCGGGATAAACATTTTTTTCTCTTTAATTTATCTTACATATCTATAAGTCTACCATGCATCGATGACTCAAATATTGCTGTCACATATGGTCCAGTGCTCCTGATTTATATGAAGAGATTCTTAATAAAATAAAATCTAAAGGCGAATAAGCAATATTATCGCTACTGACCTGGCCTCAGTCGCTTTCCCAGCGCCCTAAAGTTTCTTCTCTGTGTCGTTTCTATAAATACTTTCATGGTAATTGTCCACATGTGCTCTCTGATATGGTACCCAGACATTTAAACAGAGCATTTACTTAAATACTTGTATCTATAAAAAAGAATGTTAAACATAAAAATGTCTTTAATAAATTGTCGGACTTTGTCAAATTCTTAATGTATGACGTCATTTGTTTACATTTGATACGCCATGAGCAGTTATGAATGTACGAGATTCATGGAAGATTGCAGTAAAATTCGACCGTGCCTACCGAAAGCTCCTTTGTGGCCGAGTCGGTTAAGGCACGTCAGCGTAAATGACGCTTCCGTATAGGATGCAGGTTCGAATCCTGTCAAAGAACGAATATTTTCTATGAAAATTTCTCGGAAATTCAGGCCGGTAAATGTTATTTAATACCGTTTATTATAAACAGAGCATTTATTTAAATACTTGTATCTATAAAAAAGAATGTTAAACATTAAAATGTCTTTAATATATATAGTCATTGTTTTGTTGCAATTTATTGTTTTAAACATAATTAAACAATATTTAATTTTTCTTCTATTTGTTTTTTTTTTTTTTCATTGCAGGTAAGGAACTTTTATAGCTGATGAAACTGGCGAGAATTTATCTGTTTTAGGTACGTACGTACAATGTATATTATTTAAGCAGTTAAATGGGGAAAATACGTTGTTTTAAATGATAATCTTTACAAAGAAAATGCGCCGATGGGTTCAGGTACACCTTGCATCCCGAAGATCCCAGTTAAACCAGTATGGACCGAACCAGAACTGATGCCTATGGTGTTAGGCATCTGCAGGGCATTAAGGGGGCTGTTATTCAAAAGAATACGGTGAATGTCATAAACTTGGTCATCAGTGGCTGTCATTTTTAGACGGCCAGACCGAGGTTCATCTTCTGTGCAGTCCCTACCCCGTCTGAATTCCGCTGTCCACTATTTGACAGGAACAAAGGAAGGGGAGTCCTCAGCAAGTTTTTGTACGATTTTCTTGGGTGCCGTGCATTTTTTTTGCAGATACTGTATGACTCCTCGAGGCTCTGTTTTGTCCATTTTAGATTTATCAAACATCTCCCATCTTCGTATGGGCCTCACCTGCACAGAAGTTGACAGGAATCTGAATTAGGTTTTCCAGATTTATAAGAAGATTCAGTGTGGTGTCACAACAAAATTGTTCAATGTGGTTCTTCTTACTGGGTATTGGTCAGATACTTTTGAACCACCCTTTATATATATATATATATATATATATATATATATATATATATATATATATATATATTGCCGCCATCTTTTTTCCTCTCTCGCTCATCTTCTGGATTATAAGTGTTATTGTGCGTAGTGTCACCACAAATGTATCCACACGTTTCCGGTGTGTGTTTTTTTTAATTTTAATTTAGCTCAGCGATTCGGTAGCGAATTATGCATGGAAGCATAATTCATATTTATGTGTATCTCACTCTTTTAAACCGTTATTTAACTCCTCTCTTTAAAACTTCTCTCTTAAATTTTAATCCCCACCTTCACCTTTAGACATTCCTGTTCTTCTTTCTTTTGTTACACCCTCTCTCTAGAGCTTTCATACATTTCCCTCTCACACTTGTTTCCTACTCCGACACATACACTCTCACTAGAATTTTGTTTTTATACAAGGAGTTATATATTTTCCGATTACTTTTTGAATTTGTATGTCTGATGAATTGAATCGTGATTACAATCACAATGTAATAAATTATAACCATGTAATATTAGTGTTTGAGACATTTTTATTATATTATTACTATGTCCTGGACACTGAGTTCTACCTAGATACTATCCTCGTGGAAATTTATATATATATACATATATATATATATATATATATATGAGTGTCTGTGTGTGTGTATTGACCACTAATATCATATATATATATATATATATATATATATATATATATATATATATATATACTAGTACTAGAACTAGTTTATCGCTCTGCTTAGTCATCTACGTGTCACCTACGTTGTAGTCTTTCTACCCGTTTGGTTTTTTTTCCTTCTTTGGATTAAGGACTTAAAGAACTTGTCGATTTGTTTCATGGTGTTCTGATGTTTTTACTTTTATTCTTTTTTATTTCAATTTTTTCCTCGGGTACCGATTTGTCCTTACTTATCTGCAAGTTGAGCTATCCGAGGTTATCCAAATGAGTACTACTATTAATATATATATATATATATATATATATATATATATATATATATATATATATATATATATAGAGAGAGAGAGAGAGAGAGAGAGAGAGAGAGAGAGAAAGAAAGGGAGAAAGAGTAAGAGAATGGATTGAGTGTATACGGACGCCATTTTCCATTGATACAAATTAGGTTAAATAACCTCGAAAGTTCCTTGTTAGTTTTTCTATTTATTTTCGATTTTACAGAAGTTTTGAATGTGGTTATATTGTATTGTGTCTATTTTAGATTTTAATTTGCTGCCCGAATATCTCCAATTCAAATTACATGACCAAATAACAGCAAAAGAAATTAACACTACACAATTCTGGCGAAAACTCATTGACAGGCAAATTACAACAGCAAAAGGCGAATTAAAACAAACTCTGTATGTTAAATGAAAGAGGAGAAGAGGCACAACAAAAATATAAGCAAATTCAAAACATCCGGAACATCAGAAAAAATTTAAAATAGAAATTTTCGTTGCTACTTTTCCAAACTTGTATAAATTAAAAATGTCTGCTCAAATATTCCCACCATATATATAT